AGCTAATTGGGAGAGTTAACGTCTGGAAAATGCCTGTCAAAGTCACACTGCCATAAGCTTTAATTGGCACTATTAATATACAGGAAAAAACAAAATAATCATCCTTTCACAGAGCAGAAAAATGCAGATGATGAACATTTCCAAAGAAAATATGTATGATGAAGGTTATTAATTAGCTTCCCTTGGAAAGGATGGGAGGCTAATGGCTGCGCTGCCCTGTGACTGAAGAAGTCAGCAAGTAACTTCAACCCGTTCTGAAACAGTGTCAAAGACAGAAAAGTTTCCAAGGTAATTAAGTTTCTAAAAGCTCTGGGAAAGTCAGTGCAAGGGAGGGGGAAACAGAAGAAAGAGTCGAAATACTGTCCCCAGGGAGATGAGCAGAGTCCTGTCTCTTGCCTGGTAAGATAACGTCAGTCAAAGGAATACGGGGGAAGAAACTGGATTTATAGGAGGCTTCAGGACTTTGTAAGAAATGAGACTTCATTTACTTGTTTTAAATAGAGCTCTCATCTCAGAATTTGCCAAAACCAAATTTTGTAATTATGTTTCTATTTCTACTGTGCCACCCTTCCTGCAACAAAAATCCTTAAGAAGATTAAGAGGGTGAATTTGCACAGCAATATTAGAATGCAGACTGCACACCCAGCTGGTGTGACACGAAGCACCATTAACCAAGCAAAGGAGTTCCCATATCACCAACTTCTACGTTCTTCTAATCAGTGTCAGTGCAGAGAAATACATCTCAAAGTATGAACTTAGCTTTGACAATATGCTTCATGCTTTTCATGTCTGATGAATAATCACAACTACCACAGAATTTCCAAATGCCCTCTCTTGCAAATTAACACATTGTTTTTTTTCTGTTTTCCCAATACTTCAGAACAATGTGTTGTGGCTGTTTTTAAACTACAAAACCAAAATAGCTATGATAAAATGACATGCAATGTATCTGCCACTGCAGGCTGCTGGAATCATTGACTGCAGTCAACTGAAAAGCAGTCAAGTTTTACAACGATATGCCACAGTTGTTTAAAAACATCTGCTACGACACAGGGTAATTTTACTCTGATTCAACAGTATGACAAAACTGTGCATTTCAACTTAATAAGATCAGCACTGAAATAGATACTTGGCAAACATGGCAATATAGAGCAAACATTTTAACTGTAGTGTGCAACTTTATGTATTTTGTAATAAAGTAATTACAGAGCAAGTCCTTCAAACAATGAGGCTTCTTAATTTTAGTGTACTGAATGTAAACGAACTAGCAAAAACAAGTTTAAAAAGGAAACCTCCTGCAAAGAAGCAGCATACAGCTTTTTAGTAAAGACAAAGCAGAGCAACAAGCATCCTCCAGAATTACAAGATTTTGCTTACATGGGCAGAACAGTTCTGTCTCATAGAAATGCAAGAGAACAGAAAATGAATACAGCTCCCTGATGCTTTCTACCCCGTTATATTAACAAAAAGAGCTACAAAAATAGATGAATCAGTATTTATGATAAAAGCATACCTATGTGGCTAATTCAGTGGCTAGTCATAGCTCTACCCTAATGCTACATCAGTGAATCACTAATATTTATCATTTCAAAAAAGCAGGAAGACACCACTGAAGAAGTGCTGAAATCCTTCTTTTGTGATTGCAGACACTGCAAGAAAACAAACCAGAAATGATCATTTGTGCTTTACAATGTCACTGTGTTGATTACTGCACTGAAACCACGATTGGTTTAGACAAATAGAATCACAGAATGGCCTGGGTTGAAAAGGACCACAATGATCATCTGGTTTCAACCCCCTGCTACGTGCAGGGTCACCAACCAGCAGACCAGGCTGCCCAGAGCCACATCCAGCCTGGCCTTGAATGCCTCCAGGGATGGGGCATCCACAACCTCCTCGGGCAACCTGATCCAGTGCATCACCACCCTCTGGGTTAAAAACTTCCTCCTAATATCTAATCTAAACCTCCCCTGTCTCAGTTTAAAACCATTCCCCCTTGTCCTATCACTATCCACCCTTGTTAACAGCTGTTCCCCTTCCTGTTTACATGCTCCCTTCAAGTATGGAAGGCCACAATGACGTCTCCCTGAAGCCTTCTCTTTTCCAAGCTAATCAAGCCCAGTTCCCTCAACCTTTCTTCACAGGAGAGGTGCTATATATATAATATAAATAATTGATAACACAAATACCACTAGTTATTTTGCAGCACCACAAAAAAAAAAAAAAAAAAAAAAAAAAAAAAAAGTACTTTATTTTGGACTTGTATTTCTCTTCTTGGTAAATGCCAGATTGCCAGGCCAGACAGAAATGCCCCTTGGCGTTCATTTTTTGTCTCTTTTTTCTCCCCATGCATTCAGTCTCTCTTACTGACACATGCCCTACCCAAGTAAGTAAAACACTTGGTGATTACTGGCACCGACCTGTGAGGTAGGGACAAAGGCCTGCTTCCTAAGGTGGAAGAGGTATCCTCTATTTCCTGAGTGCATACCTGCTGACAACCAGGATTTACAGTACGGGTTAGCAGGAGACTGCTTAGTTTGCAGAAGAAAGAAAAATCCCCAGCTTTGTGAGGCACTCCCTTTTTGGCATGGTCGGCACTCACAGAGGCAGCTCTCAAATGAGAGCTCAGTGGGTCCAGGCAGGGAGGGCCTGGGATTGCTGGGATCCATGGACAACAGCCTCCATTGGAGGGAAAGCAGGCATCTGCACAGTGCTCAGCTCAGGCAGGAAATGGAGTGCTTTTATTCTCTGTGAGGACAGTAATGGAACAGATGGATCACAAGTTCTCACAAGGGGATTTTCATTTCTCAAGAACCAAAGGTAAATGCAAACAGTTCTTCATACGCTAGCCGAAAGGTGACGTTCTGTAACCAGGGAGAACTGCAGCTGCAGCTAGAAGGTCTATGACGAAAGCAACAATTTGTTAATTGATTAAATGGTTTTAAGTTGAAAGGGGGAAGTTTTAGGCTGGATGTCAGAGGGAAGTTCTTTACTGTGAGAGTGGTGAGGTACTGGAACAGGCTGCCCAGAGAGGTTGTGGATGCCCCGTCCCCGGAGGTGTTCAAGGCCAGGTTGGATGGGGCCCTGGGCAGCCTGGTCAAGTATTAAATGTGGAGGTTGGTGCCTCTGTCTGCAGCAGGGGGGTTGGAGCTTAATGATCCTTGAGGTCCCTTCCAACCCTGGCCATTCTGTGATTCTGTGATTAGAACTGAGCATCAAGAATGCCAAGAAATGGAACTACATAAAAATTCATGAAACTTGTGCTGGGAAGGCAAAACCTGGCAAGAGAAGATAATGAAATAATGCAACAACCTGCAGATAGAAGGATAAGGTTTGTAATGCAAAAATAAAATAACTGCAGTAGCGTTACTGCCTCTTCATTAGTTAGCATGGAAAGCCTAATAATAACGATGCAGGAAAGGCAGAAGTTTTCAATTAAAATTTCTGCTTTGTACTTGAAAAGTAGGTGTTGTAGTGTATGACAAAGTATTTTCTCCTCTACTGGGGACTGAAGAGGCAAAGTATCACTCGAAAGAGACACGTTAAGAAACAGCATATATTACGGGTAGCTTACTTATACCCAGAGCATTTTATGTAAGTAAAAAATTCAACAGATTTTGGGAAAATCTGTTGAACTAGAATCAGTCAGATAAGTGCAGGCTCATTTTCCAATATCCAAGCAATGCTGCAGAATTTATAGAACATTAAGGGTTCAAAATCTAATTAACAGTTATAATTATTAGCTAACAACTTTTAGGAAAAATAGCCTTTAATACATCCGACTTTGTTCTCTGGTGAGGTATTTGGCTGATAAACCTAGGAGACTTATTCAGGGCATCACAGCCGTGAGATGAATCTCCTAATTCTCAACCAACACAACACTATACCAATAAAACACATGGTATGCAAATTGGCAGGCTGCAGGAAGAGCTTTCCCAGAGACCACAAGTCAGGTGGGTTTTGGAGATATTATATGGAGATCTGTAACAGTACTCAGATGCTTTGCAGCTTTAATAAAATCAGGCAAAAGTGGACAAAGTGGTACATCCTTACAGAGCCACAGTAATGCAGAACAGAAATCTTCATTAAGGCTGACTTTCATTCAAGCAAAACTTGCTTTGGCAGAGAAAACAGCAAACAAATTCATACAGGAAAAAGAAATTAAGGCCATAAAACGGAATATCGTGCTGTCCAAACACCTTTTATTCTGTTTGAATGTCCATTGTGACGTTACGGTAGAAGCAGCTAATAGCAATTGTGACTGCATAAGACAGAGAAAGTAGAGGAAAAGTGAAGAGGTTGGAAAAATCAACAAAACACTAGGAAGGAAACACAAATGGGGAAAAAAAACTCAAACATTTACAGTTGAAGATACAGAAGATCATTTTTTTCCGTCTGTCAAAAAGAACTTGCACAGCAAATATCTAGAGTTAATACGCTAGAGGTTTTAATGATGTCAGCTTATTCTCCTATTATTAAGAACCCACAGAAGCTGTGGATTTGTGCTCTACTGCACTATTTACAGCCAGGCAAATTCTTGAACAAAGAACTGAGCTGGTTTGATGGAAAGGTCATCAGCTCAAAGCCAGTAACTTAGTGATACTTAAAGACCTGCACTATTAAGATCATCTCATCTAATAGTCACCTTTGAACATAAGGTATCAGAAAATAATGTTATTTTTTCTCCAGCAGCATTTAGCCAGTTTTCAAGCAGACACAATGCTTTGGGACTGAAGGGACTTTAACCACCTAGTTCCAGCTCCCCTGCCATTAGCAGGGCTGCCACCACCCGCTAGATTAGGCTGCCCAGGGTCCCATCCAACCTGGCCTTTATGGATAGATAGATAAAAATGTTCATTTACATAGCAAAATAAAAGCCATTTATACATCTCAGCAAGATCATGACAACAAACTTCACATCCACTATACTTCCATTTATACTTGCCTAGTATAAATACCACTGATGATCACGTGCACATAAAGTAACAGCTTCAAAAAACTCAGTTGCAGTATCATGTTTATTTACATAAAGCATCCCAGAAAATTTATCACAAGAATGAAAGAAGCAAGAACATTCACAACAAATCTAGCTCAGATTATTCTATACATACTCCTCAACAACTAGAAATATATCAGCAGCAATACGGATTCATTTATACATCAGAAGTCTATACAACGTCCCTTCCTCTCCCAGTCTCCAAAACGTGTAGGTTCAGGGCCCTTCGGTCCACCTCTCTCTTTTGTAGCAGGATTGATTCCATCAGGGAATTCTACAACGACAGGGAAAGTTCATTAAAATGCATACAATGCTGACAAATACAGACACAAACTGAATCAGATCAGGAATATATATATCTATATGTATATATATAGATATATATTACAAGTCAGAGAAGCTCTGGAGTCTCCCTCCTTGGGAGATCTTCAAAAGCTGCTTGGATGTGGTCCTGGATCCCCTGCTCAGGGTGTCCCTGCTGGAGCAGGGGTTGGGCCACATGGACCCAGAGGACCCTACCAGCCACAACCATTCTGTGATTGTGAAATATAAGCATCTGACCATCTATGATGTTTCTCTCTCAATCCCTACTTCAATATAAAATCAATTGTCTTTTGGGAGGAAACCCAGAGCAGTATTTCCCAGAGCAGTAAAACAACAATTTCAGAGTTTTGTGACAACAGTCAGAAATATTACCATATTCAGTAATGCAAACGAAAAAACAACTCAGTGTCCCAAGGCACTACAGCACCAGAGATTCTAGTGAATTCACAGTAAGAACTTTTATCATGAAGGTAAGCTGCCACGTTCACTATATCTAAGATACCACATCACTGTCTGTGTTTGTTTAGATTTTTGATTTCAGACACTTGGGTATGAGAATTTTAGTCATGATTTTACAATTACCATCATGTTTTCACAGATGCTATCTTTTCATTGAATATCATGCAGATGTTCATCAACTTCACACCAAATACCATTATCATAGGAGGCACTATAAAATCCTAATAAGACTTTCAGTCTCAGGAAAAGGAGGCTGAGGGGAGACCTTATTGCTCCCTTTAATATCAGAAAGGTGCTTACAGCAAGAGTGGGGTTGGTCTCTTCTCACTGGTGACAGGTAACAGGACGAGGGGAAATGGCCTCAAGTTGTGCCAGATGAAGTTTAGGTTGGATAGCAGGAAAAACTTCTCTACAGAAAGGGTTGGTAAGCACTGGAATAGGCTCCCTAGGGAGATGGTTGAGTCACCATCCCTGGATACATTTAAAACTGTTTGGATGTGGTGCTCACGGACATGATTTAGCGGAGGGTTGTTAGAGTTAGAGTAGTATGGTTAGGTCATGGTTGAACTCAATCATCTTTAAGGTCTTTTCCAACCTGAGCAAGTCAATGATTCTACCTTTTAAAATGAAGCATAAGCCTGCTGAGTCATGCTGATACCCTTCCAGGAGAAGGATACCCTTCCTTCGTGGGGTATGAATGGGATTTCCAAATCTCCCCAGTTAGCCACATGAGCATAACTCATCAGCAGAGCTTTTTCCACTCCCAACATACTACCTAGCTACGCCACCTGTTCTTAACACCACCTAGCTTTGCTCCTTTCCTCCATCAACATCCTCAAGCTACTCTGTGCTCCCTCAGTAAGGCCCTCTGCCTGGGCCTCACCAAGCCACAGAGCGCTCACTTTCTGGCACAGCACCATCCTAGGCTGAGTATTTTTTCATCCTGCTCTGGTCTGCAAGGCTCCCTGAAGCTCAGGGTACCCCATGCACCTCTGCCATGCTGATTCCAGAGCCCTCCTTAAGTCCACGTGACTAGGGGCTCTCTCAGCACTACTGCACTGCTGGGAAAAACATAATACAGAGCAGGACTGAACATGAGAAGAGAACAGAAATTCTGGGGAGCAGTGAAAGTGAAGGACAGTGATAAAGGAAGACTCACATAGCTACAGGCCATACAGAATGACATATTGGGACGCCTGTTTAAATTCATGCAAACCATGATAGGGAATATCAGCACTTGAGCACCTCCGGCAGTACAGGGAGCATAAATGCATCCAGCATCACCCCAATATCTAAGCACTACTGATGTGCTGACAGCGGATACAGAAGCTCAAAAGCTTTTTCTATGATAGCTACACGGCAATGGGAATTTCAAATGGCCACCTAAACCCCTCCTTTTTTTCTAATAAACATCAAGGATAGAAGAAGCAGTCAGCACTCCAGCAAACCACTGCCAACATTGTATATAAAAACACACAACTAAATTTAAACACAAAAGAAACCTCTAATTTTGCCCAAAAATCTAAGCAATAAGCAAAAGATAATAGTTGTTTTAAATGAAGCACTGATGGTATTCCTTGGGAATAGAAAGGAATTCAGAATTAAGTAACTGCTTACACAATAACTCCAACTCTTGAGTCACTGCTCATAGTGAGTCACAATCTGAAACTGCCGGCAGCCGTTCTGGAAATGATACTATAATTTTTCAGTCATTCTGTCATCTGGAAACTCATAATGATCTATTGGTACACTGAAAGAGTTTGTCCTAGACAGCTCAAGATGGATAAACACAAGTTATTGCCACTGGTAAACAAGCAGTAACAGAACAGCACACAATGGTGAACGAGGTTAATCTGACTGGTTAAAGAATGACTAAAGAAAGAAGAGGAAAAATCAATCCTTTAATTCTGTCTGATAAAAGCGTATGTTTCTGTGACTTGCAGCAGCAATATATTTGGTATCTGTGTAGGTAAGACAAGATACTCTTGTGTATCCCCACCAAGTGACCAGAGCACAACACCAACAGCAGACAGGGCTCTTCAGGTCTCCCTGGCCCTGCTGAATGGCTCAGGAAGCTCTGCACATGGCGCTGCTTTTCAAAACACCACACACAAAGCTAAGAGCAACAATGAAATGCAGCACGGATCGGACACCTTTTGTGGAACAGGCTTCTTGCATCATAAAAAGCAGCTGGGACCAACATTTATAGCTGCATTATAGTTGACCAATATTGCTACATCAGTTACATTCGGCAGAACCATAGAATAGTTGATGCTGGAAGGCACTTTTGCCAGACAGCAGGCCCCACAGGAAGAACCCAGGTTAGGATGTCCAGGCTAACTAGAGTGTCACCAAGAAGAGAGATCTTGCCTTTAAAATACAGCTTTCAATTTCATAAAGCATGACTTACTTTCCAGAGGTTCCCTCTCTACGCTGGACTCCTCCGGTTCATCAAATCGGCCTACTGGTAACTTTGGTTTCTTAAGGGTCTGCTTAGCAGGCTCAGGTCTTCCCTCCGATTTATAGCTCCTTAGCGAGCTGCAGGGCAGCGATGACCCTGCAAACAAATGGACATGTGTCACCTACACATCAGACCTTCATACCGAACAGCTCTGCCTTTGTTTTGAGAACCTGTGAGAACAAACCAATCTGCATCACTCCAAAAAGCAGGGAGTGGAGGTCAGGCAAAAACCTCCCAATATTACAGGGAAAGGACCTCAAGAGATCAAGTCCAACCCTCCTCCTAAAGCAGGTACCCTACAGTAGGTCACACAGGCAGGTGTCCAGACCTTGAATATCTCTATAAAAGGAGACTCCACAACCTCTCTGGGCAACCTGTTCCAGGGCTTCATCATCCTTACCATAAAGAAGTTCTTCTGCACGTTTGTTAATGCAGAACTTCCTATATTCAATTTCAAAACTCATCTCACGAACACCTAAGAAATTAGCAGATTCTTATTTTTGGTTCTAGAAACATATGCATGCAAAATTGTGTTAGTTGTATAACTCTGTTCACATCAACAGTGTATTTTAAACTGTTTGAAATTAACTTCACTGTTACTGTCTTCTTGCATTTTAGACTCTAAATAGTAATGATGCTGGCATAGAGGAATACATTCTGTTTCCCTGGAAAAGGCTGAACCTCCCCCAAAAAGGCTGCAGATTTCCAGGGCTTGGCTCCTTTCCAGCAACTTCTTTGTCAGAAAGAGCCTCTACTTCCCCAAAGGAAAGTAACCCCAAAAGTAAAGAAAAATCACTGTTCCCTTGGTAACAGGTCTTCTAGGATGCTGGCAAAGAACAGAGGGGCTTCACTTATGACAATAAAATAATTTGGTAGTCAAAAGCAGAACAAGCTTTAAGCACATTTAAGTTCAATTATATAACCCTATACATATGCTTTAATTAGAAGAAAATATTTTCCTCTCATAAAGCCTTACTAATAGCTTTAAACACAAATTAGGAGAAACCTTATTACCATCCCCACCTTAATGTTCTGCTAAGTATTCTAAAGACACTAAGGTGTGCAGATATTCTAAGTAACTGCATAGTCATTACCAAATCAGAAATTGCTCACAAAGACCTCCCAAAAGACAGACACTTCTGCATTTCATTAAAAAGCCAAATGCCCACCATGAACAGGAACATCTCTGAAAAAACTTCAGCTATGGACATGGCCTGGTCTTTTCTTTAGAGGATTCAAACATAAACCCTGCCTGCCTACACTGGGCTCCAAGCACTGCAGAGAGCCATGGCCTCACCTCAGCCTCCTCCAACAGCACAGCTGTCACTTACCCATACCAAACAGCAACCAGCTGTATGCCCCAAATCAGCATATCCGACCATCCTAAAATACCATAGCCTGAGCAGATTTAGGCCCTACAGTCACATAACCCATGCTGGGCCTGCTAAATGCAGCCAGTGCCTCCAAAGGAACACTGTTTTTTTTCCTCTTTAGCTATGACAAAGGGGTTTAAGAACAGCAAGGAATCCAACTCTTCTGCATCTGTTGGATCCTTCTTCCTGCCAAGCACCCTGCTTTTCTGCAGGCTGGAACAGACGCCAGGTAGGAAATTCAATGCTCCAGTCCAAGCTCAAATACAAGTCATGCTGAAGTACTGACAGGAAACTACCTGACAGTAAGGAGGGAAGAGGCAAAATTACTTTCTCCTATTTGTAATATTTGGAATTGCTGACTAAAACAAGTTCCTCTTGACACAGGGCTGACAGCATCTCAACACCGACTGCCTCGGAGAAGCACAGGGCAGAAGACCAACTCCATCAGCAGGGTACGTTCTGCAGGCTGCTGTGGGACTGCTCATCCTCTATGGGCCGCGCCGGGTGCTAATCATAGAGCTGAACTTGGAAAGAAGCTGGAAATCCCACTTCTCTGCAGCCGTAGCGCTCAGCCGTCACCGAACGCAGCAGGGCCGCTCAGGCTGCGGGCTGGGGTCCCTTTCCAGTCCTCCTGTACTCACAGCAGCCATTCCCCGCCTCATTCCTCACCATGTCGCTCCGTTCTCACGGCTCAGCCGCCACACGGGGTTGCCCCCACCCGGCCCGGCTGCCCGCCTCTCAGCACACACACAGCGCTGCGCTGCCCTCCAGCTATTCCGCGAGCACCAACGCGCAGCTCAGCGTCTCACTACAGTTCCAACCCTCGCAGACGCTAATAAACTCCCACAGCGGGTAGCGAGGCCTAGCAGCTGCAGGCCAGAGCTGTGCGGGCACGCGTTCGCACACACAGCCTGGCAGAAGCCTCGGCGTCCTCCCCTCCCCCACCCCGCTCTCCACCCGCTCCTTACTCGCCGCGGCCCTCAGCAACCGCAGCGCCATGGCCGCACCGTCCCGATTCGGGACGCGCTGCCGCGCATGCGCCCCGCGCCTGCGCAACGGCCACGGGCCGCGCGTGGGAAGCGGCGGGAAGGGCGTCTGGAGGCGGGAAGGGCGTCTGGAGGCGGGAAGGGCGTCTGGAGGCAGGCGGGCGGGGCGGTGCTCCGTGGGTGAGCGGCTCCGCATGTCGCCTGTGCGGTAGTTCCTATGAACTCATGGCCCGGTTCCTGCCGTGCGACGAACGGTTAACCGCTCAAAAGACGCGCTCCTACACCTTCCCGCTTTTAGAAACAAATTCTAAAATCACATAAAAGTGTTGAAAGCACGCTGCGGGAATCACACAAAGACAGACGTAACGTACAAAGGACGTGAAACGGCTGACAGGCCCAGCGTTCGTAACAGCTGCAGCACTTTAACCTCAGTTACCTCGCATAATTGCTTTATTACTGAAACAGCACACTGTACAGCCCAGCAGGTGCCCCTTCCACACCCGAGAAGGGGCTCCTCCTCCTCGCAGAAGGAGCAGCACAACGTGCCACACAGCCCCACTGACACCGACCCCATGTTTTTCCCACCTGCCCAACGCGGCCGTGCGGGGCACACGGTGCACCCAGCAGGAAGCCCGGCACAGGTGTGCTGGTTGCTCTGTGGACCCCATCACCTCACTCTTCCACAATTCTCACCCATCCCCACGAATACTGAGCCATAGAGAAAGCTACTCGCTTGGCTTCAGAGCAACTGGAGTCTAAAATAGCATTTTATGTTTGGATGCGGTGCTTAGGGACGTGATATAGCAGTGGGTTGTTAGTTAGGGTCAGGTCAGTTAGATGGTCAGGTTGCAGTTGGACTTGATGATCTTGAAGGTCTTTTCCAACCTGAGCAATTCTATGATTCTATATTCTCATTTTAAGCGTTTAAGGAAGTAAATCTCCTTGGTAAATTAACAGCAGTGCTGTGCTGAGTTTATTGCGCGGCATCTGGCCGTGCCTACACATGGAAAGCGATTACATTTAACTGACTGCCTTCTGTGTGACATTTTTTCAATCAGCTTTTTATAACGTGGTTAATTGGGCATGAGAGACTGACAATGATGGGAAAGCCTTTCCGTTATTCTAACAGACTAGAGAAAACAGTGCAGTAGTGGTGGCTCATGCAGGAAAAATGCTCTTCAGCCCAAGAGCAGCAAGAAAAAAATCCACAGATGTATGCCAAGTCCAACAGCTTATCGTGCTCCCATGAAATCCTTACCTTGACAACATTCATACTGAGCTGCCTGCAGGCACCAAGTAGGGGTAAGCTCTGTTCTCTGAGAGATTAAAGTAAACCCATGAAAAACCGCGCTTGTGTGCATTCCCAAATGGTAAGGGTAAAACAACTATGTAAGAATAATTAGGTATGATTCTTCTACCCAAAAATAAGGAGGTCTTCAGAGCTTTTTCCCCCCTTTATTCTTCATTTCCAGCATATTCCTTAAAAATGTAAACTTCACTTTTTAGTCCTGATTTATGTATTCCTAGATCTTGTGGTTGAAGAGATTGTGAACCTGAACATAAGACCTGAATGTAACGTTACCTGAACATAAGAACATATGTAAGCACATGCCACTGTGATTAAAATGAAAAGTTTGTTATTTTGTTTTGTGCTTTCCTCCCTGTGGTTGCCAATCATTTCTCTTTTACTCTCCAGCTTGCCCTGCAAGGAGTCAGAATTATGTATTATTCTTTATTTTGTTGCTCTGAAAAGCAGGGAGTAGAAGACCTACAGCCAACATGCACTATGCAGGTCAGTTCAGATGAGCTAAAACATAAGCGGCAAGGCCTGGTGATTTCCAAAACAATCTTTTTTT